TGGCAATTCATCAAAAACTGCTCACAAATAATCAAAACAAAAATTGACAAATGGCCCCCAGACTTTTGCTGGACTATTTTTGAATATTCCTCCTGTAGAGGGACGTGCCCGACTGAACTCTGGACAAATAAAGCCATACCCCACCCCCACCCTGGGAAGAACCGTGTCCCCGCCGGCCGACATGCCCACCTGCTGTATGAATAGGCCCAGGGATACACAAATAAGTAGACACAGATCCCAAGATTCCCATGTTGTGTGGATTTTCGTCTTCCGACCACTCCCTGTATGTTCTATCACTTTTTGCGGGAGTCGACAGTCGTCTGTGTCTGTGTCTTGGTTCCACTCCTGACTGTAAGGGGTAGGGTGGCTACCGCTTCCCTCGGGACTCGCAGGACCCACTCCCCACCACGGTGTCATATTTTCCACGGCACAAGCCGCCAGCATGATGCTTCCACTCTCGAGTGCTGCGCATCACCACAGCCGTGCTGCGCCGCAGCGTGAGACGGAGGAGCGGATGGATGTCGATAGATCCCTCGACGCCGCGTGCGGCCTATAGGTCGGGCATGTTCCCTACAGGCGGATTTTGGAAGAATCCACGTACTCGAAAAAAAACAAAAAAATCATGAGAAGTAATAGTAAATCGTCCCCTGGCATGTTTGAACACTGTTTTTGACTATTCCTCCTGCAGAAAGACAGGCCCGACTTGACGATGTACATCTTTCGACGCTGCGCGCTGCCTCCCACAGAGAAGGACGAGGCGCCAGGCCACCGGGAAGACGACACGCGGCGAGAGCAGACAACAGAAGAGGCGCGAGGCCTCAGGGCACGCGGCGCCCAAAGCACTCATCCTCATCCCCACCAAGACGGGGGGAGGAGGAGGAGGAGAAGAAGGAGGAGAAGGAGGAGGAGGAGGAGGAGGAAGAGGAGGAGGGGGGGGAGGAGGAGAAGGGGGAGGAGGAGGAGGAGGAGGAGGAGGAGGAGGAGGAGGAGGAGGGAGGAGGAAGGAGGAGGAGGAGGAGAGAGGAAGGGGAGGAGGAGGAGAGGAGGAGTAGTAGGAGGAGGAGGAGGAGGAGGAGGAGGAGGAGGAGGAACGAGCAACGAGCTCAAGAGGCAGCGTATGCTCACGGACACAGCTCTAGGGAGAGGCACAACTTATCCCAGTTCTTCCCCCCCCCCCCTGCAGAGGCTCACCAGACTTGGGATGCTTGCCCCCCAGCAAGCAGTGAAGGACTCGCCGCCTGCTGGGGGACAAGTCTTTGGGGTCAGGGCAGGAGGCCCCAAGCGCCTTCCCTACCCTGACGGACCCGTAGGCCCCCCACCGCCGACACCTCACGACCGTACCCGTGGCGGTAACGTCGTGTCCCCCAGGCGCGGTGAGCTTCAGCGGCCCTGCCTCGGGCTCCACAGAGCCCGAGGCCTCCCCCCCAGGGGCCCCAGCCTCGCCCTCGCGGGCAGGCACGGGCCCCTCCCAAGAAGACCCAGCAGGGGCCAGCCCAGACAGGGCCACGGGCCCAGACGGACCCCCAGACCCCGCCCCAGACGAGACCCCCCCAGACACCCCAGCCCGCAGGGTTCTGCGGGAGAGGCGGTTCTCCCAGCTCTGCGGGCACAGTAGCGCCCCTCTGGCGGCGAGGGGCCGCTGGCGGCGAGAGGATATGGGCGTCGGCAGCATACGGCGGACTCGCCCTGTCCCAGCAGGGCTCAGGACGGCTCTGAAGGCGATGGCTCCTCCTCCTCCTCCTCCTCCTCCTCCTCCTCCTCCTCCTCCTCGAGGGACGGACCATGGGGCTAGGCCTGTAAGCTTTCGGAGCTCCGCGCGGAGATCTCGTGTCGGCGCCAGCCCCGCTCCCCTGCCGGCGCGCGGCCGCGCGCCAGGGGGGCGGCAGCGGAGGCGCCGCCAAGGGGGGTCCACTGCGCCGGTCCGAGGAATCCGCGCAGACCTCCGAAAGCTAGAGTTTGCTCAGTCATTACTGCCGTTGTTGTTGTCGTTGTTGTTGGCTGTTGGCTGTTGGCTGTTGGCTGTTGGCTGTTGGTTATTGTTGTTGTTGTTGCTGCTGTTAGCTATTGTTGTTGTTGTTGGCTGTTGTTGTTGCCTGTTGGTGTTGTTAGCTGTTGTTGTTGACTGTTGATGTTGCCTGTTGGTGTTGTTGCTGTTGTTGGTGTTGATGTTGGTGTTGTTGTGGTTGTTGTTGTTGTTGATGTTGGTTGTCTGTTGTTGCTGTCTGTTGTTGTTGATGCTATTGTTATTGTTGTTGTTGCTGTTGTTGTTGTTGTCGACAATTTGATCTGACTGTATCGCAGTGGGCGGAGCTTGAGGCTTGGTCTTGCTCAACATGGAAAATTCGCTCTCGGTTCCACGGCAAACGCACATACGTACATACATAGATACATGCTTTCTGAGGCGCTCCGGCAACGATCCCGCCCAGTCCCCTCGCGTGGACTCGTTCGCGCGGGCTCTGATGTGGCCATCTTTCATGGGAGGGAGCTCAGGTGTGTAACCACGAGCTGCAGTGGCAACGGTGCTGCAGTTGTCTGTATCCAACTTTTGAGTGCGTTATCAGGCAGCTATGTTACCAGACGTTTCTTTTAACACTCTATCACGCTTGAGTTCTTTGAACACGCCTCAGCGAATCACGTCGGTGGCTGCGAAGGTGATTGCAGAAGAAAAACTGCATATGCACAATCTTTCGGAGCCCTGCGTGTGTTACGAGGATCCGCGCTAGACCCCTCTCCTTAGGCGCTCCCAGCGCTCTAAGGTCGGCGCTGGAGGCGCCGCCAGGGGGTGGGGCATAGCCGATACCCGACGTCCCTACGGAGTTCCGGAAGTTTATGCTTATGCCTGATGTATACTCTGTTTCCCCAGGCAGGGACCTTACAATTGGAGGCTGAGGTGGCTTAGGTCTGGCCCAAAATAGCTTACAAATGGATTGGAGGAGAACCCTCAGCCTAAGTTTCGGACGACCGGCGTGGGTAGAACAGTGGTCACGATGCCCAATAGCAGAAGTTGTCCCAAACCGATAACGGCCGCTGTTGGGCAGGCGACCTTTGCCTCAAATGAACAACGCCCGCGACGACACCGTCAGCAAACCCAATTCAAACTGGACAGGGACCGCTGCTGCTCCATGCACCCGTTCTTTCCGTACCCATTCCGAGGGTTTCTCCATTTTGCCCCCATTCCGTACCCATTCCAGGGGTTGATCCCTTGCCCGATGTGCCCCCAGCTTTTCGCTCCATTTTGGAGCCCCTCGGGCCCCCTGGGCCTCGTGAGTGGTGCTCTGGAGGCCGCGGGGGCCGCCATGAAAATCCTTGGGGCACCTTAGGTCAGGGGCACTTCTGGAAAAATCCGACCCTTTCGATCGTACCAAGAAGTTCGGCTACACCTCAGGGGTGACCCTATTCAAGAGTGACTCCAAGCAAGAGTGACATCCCGGGGGACGCGGGGTGGCCAAACCCGGGCGCGCGAGCCAGTGCCACCGCTTCGCGCTGAGCGATCGGGGGACCCCATAGGATCCGCACCAAATGGACAAGCGCGTTCCACTGCTCGCAAAGTAACTACTCGCAAAATAGCCTTGATCCGCGGGGGATTCATGATACATGACATAGATGAAGACAAGTTGATGGTTCGGACGTTTGCGAGTATTTAGGCACCTTGCGAGTAGTGGATCGCGCCTGGTGACCGAAGGTCACTCCAGCGAAAGGTCACTCTAACGTACATAGAGGCCTCCTAGATGGGATCCGAGTAGATGGGGTCGGAAGATCTCGCCGCATCGCTGATACATCGGCGATGCACTGGCGACGTCGGCGATGCATCGGCGATGTCGGCGTGGAGAAAATCGAGCGATGCATCGGCGATGTCGGCGATGCATCGGCGATGTCGGGCTCCACATCGAGCCGCATCGCCGATGCATCGGCGAAGCGGCGCGATCCTTCGACCCCATCACTCCGACCCCATCTAGAAGGCCTAGCGCCCAGAGATTCGGAGATTCGATGTCGTGATTATCTCCATGCAGGGTCCCTGGAAGTCTCGACCCATTCCCCAAGACTGGTTTTTCATCCTGAGCCGTTTCTGGGCGGTCCCGGGGCCCGGCGAGGGCCCCTCGAGGCCGAAAAATACCAAAAACCTCCGTCTTGACTTTTTCAATGCGACGGACCTCTGGGAGTATAGCCGACGTGTGATCGCCCCGGCGACCGCCAGGGCCGGCGCAGGCGCCGCCAGCGGCGCCGCCGCCGCGGCCGCCGGCGGGAGCGGCGCGGGAGGCAGCGGCGCTGGCGGCGGTGGCGCCGGGGCTGGCGCTGCCGGGAGCGGCGCGGGCGGCGGAGGCCTTGGGCGTTGCTGCAGGGGGGGGGGGGGGGGGGGGGGGGCGAACAGACCCAGAGGTCCAACGCACTGAAATAAATCAAAGCGGCGGTTCTTTGCCGTTGTCGGCCTCTAGAGGCCCCCGCCGGGCCGCGGGACAGTCCCAAAAACGACGCAGGATGGAGAACCAGTCCTGGGAATGGGTCGAGACCTCTGGGGGGCCGCACTGAAAAAATCACGACATCGGATCTCTCGGGATGGGGGGGGCGAAGGAACGTGCACCTCTCGTGCCCCGCGCCCCGGCGCTCCAGAAAGGAGTTGGAGCGGCGGGTTTGGGGGCCTGCGAGACCTCGCCGGGCCGCGGGGTCCGTGGAAAAACGGCTCGGGACGGAAAACCAGCGGGAAGCGGACCAGACCTCTGGGGCCCAGGCAGCGAAAAATTGGAACGACCGGATGTCTGGGTTTGGGCCCCCTTCAGGGCGGCTGAGGTACGCAGGGTGCACTACTTGTCTCCCCCCCCCCCCCACTCATCGCCTCCTCATTACGCAACGCCCGAGGGCCCTGGCGGCGGCGGCGGCGGCACAGGAGCCGCCGCGGGGGCCGGCGGCGGCGCTGCTGCGGGGGACGCCGCGGGCGGTGCGGGCGGCGGCGCGGGGGCCGGGGGCGGCAGCGGCGCCAGGGCTGGGGCCGGGTCTGCCGCAGCTGCCATGACCGAGATGGCGGGGCTCGCCAGGAGCCGCCAGGTCTCGTCCGCTGCAGGGGTCACCTCGGAGCGGGGCGAGCCGGGACGACGGCAGCTCAGGATGCTGCCCCCCAAGACCCATCCCTAAGGCCCAAACAAACCAGATTCCCGAGCTGCGTCCAGCCGTGGCAACGAGGGCCTCCCCCTAGGACCTTTTTTGTTTGCGCGAGTGCAACCAGAGCTCTTTTGCTCTACAAGCACTACGAAGCCCTGATGAAACATTAGTGTGCGCGCATTGCTGTCGATTGTATCCCTTTCGGTGGAGAAGGAAGGGGGGGGTGAGGCGGTCCGATTGCTTTCGTATTGCAATCCTACTGCGCTTGCCTTAAAAGGGAGAGGGAGGAGGGAGGGTGGGAGCGGAAGCATACCAGGAAAAAAACAAAACATGACAAGCATGAAAAACCATGTGTCTTCAAAGAGACAAAGAAACAGCCACGAACCCTGTGACTGTCGCTCATGTTTTAGGTTGTCCTGTGTTCCCTGCGACAGCACAACCTTGTTCATGCTTGTCCTGTTGTTCTTGTATTCCTCGTCAGCTTCCCCTCCCCCCTCCTCCGCCCTCCGTTCTCATCTTTCCTCGATCCTCCAGTGCAATTGCAATAGGATTGCAATAAGAAACAAAAATGACCACCTCACTCCATCCCCCTCCTCTTCAAATCCGCCGATCCGGCGTGTGAGTTTCAAGGAGTCTCAGCTACAGCCTCGAGGCTGAGCCTCAGCCTCTGGGGGGGTTGCCGGGGTGGCTCTGCCGGGGAAGGGGGGGTGGGGGGGGGGGGGGGCGAGTTTCCGGCGGATGCGTTTTTTGACACCCCTCACAAGGATCGTGGCCTCCGAGGGGGTTCCGAACTCGAGTACCACCCCTCCCGCACCAAGAGGCTCCGAGGAGGCCTCCAAGAGGCCCCAAGGGGCGCAGAAGAGGCCCCCAAGAAGCCCCAAGAGGCTCCCAAGAGACCCCCAAGAGGCCCTCTACTGGCCCCAAGAGGCCCAAGAGGCCCCCAAGAAGCCCCAAGAGGCGCCCAAGAGGCCCCCCAAAGTCCCAGCCAACCACGAGATCCCAACCAGCATCCATGAGACCTCTGACCCACCACCCACGCACGGTGGCGGGATAGGCCGACGGCCACTGGATAAAAGCTGAGTGAGAGGAGGGGAAGGAAAAAGAGAGGAGGGACGAGGGCGAAGAAGGATCACATCAGTCGGAGCGACGCGGATCGGCGGCACTGGCCGAAGGCCACTACAATAAGAATGCGATAGGAATGCGATCGGGACTGGGAGCTGGCGGTAGACCGTCAACCAGGTGACCGCCGGAACCATCGTAGAGCTCTCAACACGCGAATGCGTGTTTAGATTACCAGGAGGGAGCTTCCTTGAATATCAGCTTGAAAACTCGCCAAAATGTATTTATTTGATTTTATACGAAGTCCGTTCCCTCACTTCTTTTGACCGTAAAATTGTAGCTACGGACCTGAGAATTTCACAAGCAGACGCGGCATAACCCACTACACGTGAAAGAATACTGGTTCTCAAAACGAATGGTCAAATCTCTCACAAACTTCAAAAAAACGACCCCAGGTCACCACATTGTCCGCCCGGACCGGGTGGGCCAACTAGCTCCACCCCGCGCCGGGATTCCTCTAGCTCATCGATGCCGGAGGGCTCTACGAGGTATTCCTAGCGGTAGAGAAGGGGGGGGGGGGCGGTGAGGATATCAGTTTGCTTTCGTATTGCGACCCCAGTGCGCTTGCATTAGATGGGAGAGGGAGAGAGGAGGGAGGGTGGAGGAGGGAGGGTGGGCGCGGAAGTTTACCATGGAAGAAAACAAAGCATGACAAATATGACAAACCTCGTGATTCCATAGGAAAAAGAAATACGACCCCTGTGACTGTCGCTCTTGTTCTAGTTTGTCTTATTCCTCCATGTGAAAAACTCACGCTTGTTCGTATTGCCCCTCCCCCCTCCCCGCCCTCCCTCCTCATCCTTCCTTCCTCCTACAGTGCGATTGCAATTGGACTGCAATAGAAGACAAGATGACCACCTCATTCCATCCCCTCCTCTTCCATCTGGAACGCGATATAAATGCGATCGGGATTCCTTTCGGTGGGTAAGGGAGGAGACGGCGGTGAGGAGGTCCGATTGCATTATTATTGCAATCCTCCTGCGCTTGCATTAGGAAGAAGAAGGAGAGGGAAGCAGGGAGGGGGTGCGCGGAGGCTTACCAAAAAATGAGACAAACAAGACAAATCTGAAAAGCCGTGTGTCTTCAAAAAGCCACGAAACCTATGACTGTCGTTGTTTTTTCTAGTTGGCTTCTTTTGCCATGTGATAGCAAACATTGCTTCTTGTTTTTCCTGATTCTTTCCTAACAAGGCTCCGTTGCCCCTCCCCCCTCCTACGCCCTCCCTCCTGATCCTTCCTTCTCCCTCCAATGCAATTGCATTATGATTGCAATGAAAAAAGATGACCACCTCACTCCATCCCCCTCCCCTTGCAATAGGAACGCCTTAGGAATGCAATCGGGATTCCTCGGCTCCTCACACCCTCCTCCTCATACGGGACCTCAATAGGACTGCAATCGTAATGCAATAAGAATCTCTCCCTCTCCGTTCCTCCTCCACTACTAGGAATTCAATCGGAAAACAATGCGAATACAATGGGAACACACAGTCGGGATTTCTCCATACCCCTCCTCGCCCTCCTGCAATAAGACTGCATTTGACGTGGCAATCGATGATGGAGATGCACAAGAAATCATCAGGAAATCCATCAACAAAAAGCCTTGTTGTAATTGTAATCATACGAAGGGTCACACGCGCCCCCCTCGAAGGCCATTGGTCAAAGCAAGGAAAAAGCCACAAGCATAAACTGTCCGGTGTCCGCGCGGAGCTCCGATTGTTGATGTCTGGAGCCCAGGCCACCTATAGGCTGTCCCCCGCGTAGGTCCGCCAGCCGCCCCGACAGCGCCGCGAATCGTGACGTGACTGCCCCCCTCCCCTATCCTCCCCCGCTCCAGCCCCTCCCCTACCCTCCCCGCACCCGCTCCGAATTCCTCCGCGGACTTGTGATGTTCCCGTCGTATCTAGGGGCCGCACAATTCAGACATTATTCCGAGACCCCCGAGAGGTATCGAAACAATGTCTGCCCGACACGCTGGCGAAGCGCCGAGCGAATATCGCCTCCCAGGGCCCGACACGTGCACAACAACCTCCTTGGTGCCCGAAGTTTTCTCCTGGTTAGAACATCCTCCGGCCGTGGACCCCGCCCCGAGGGCGGATATCCAGCCGTGGCGGCGAGGAGCCTCTCCAGGCGAGGCTCCCTTCCCCCCAACAAGAACAGAGCACCAAGCCCGAAGTTCTTTCCTGGTTGAACATCGTCCGTCCGTGGACCCCGCCCCGAGGGCGGATATCCAGCCGTGGCGCCGCGAAGCCTCTCCAGGCGAGGCCCCCGTTCCTCCAACAGGAACAAGGCACCACGCCAGGGAGGGCCGCCCCTGTCTCGACTGCCTGGCCCCTCCCCCACCCTGGTCCTAGGTCGGGCATGTCTGAAGGGGAACTGGGACACACAAATAAATACACACTAATAAAAGGATTCCCCTTATTTTCCCATCTTTTCTGGGTTTTTGTATCACCCCCCACTTCCCATATTTTCCCATATGTTCCTGAACATCGGCGATTAATTGTGTCTGTGTGTTTTTTCCCCTCCTGAATGTCCGCCTACAAACATATTCAAACATAGTCAAACAAATCATCGAACAATCGTCCTCGGACTATTTGTCGCTATGTTTGAAGATTCCTCCTGTAGAGGGGCGTGCCCGAATTAACCCTGGTCACGCCCGTCATCGTCATGTGGACCAAAAAAAAAGTGCGGCAGGACCTCGACCGCAAGAACCCTTCCACAAGACGTCCAACCCTGAGCCCCGAGGACGACCACCGATTTTGGCGTGGGGACGTCGCGCTTTCCACTGCGAAGCCATCGAGACCCCAAGAAACCCAGGGCACCCTGGAGGCAAGCTGGGTGTTTCTGGGAGATAAGTTTGCTTTCGTATTGCGATCCTAGTGCGCTTGCATCAGATGGGAGAGGGAGAGAGGAGGGAGGGTGGAGGAGATAGGGTGGGCGCGGAAGCTTACCATGAGAAAAACAAAACATGACAAGCATGAAAAAACCTCGTGATTTCATATGAGAAAGACATGCGGCCCCTGTGACTGTCGCTCTTGTTATAGTTTGTCTTATTCCTCCATGTGAAAACCTCAAGCTTGTTCGTATTGGATTATGTTTTTTTTAATGGTGTTCCGGGTAAGCTTCCATTGCCCCTCCCCCCTCCCCGCCCTCCCTCCTCATCCTTCTTTCCTCCTACAATGCAAGTACACTTGGACTGCAATAGGAGACAAGAGGATCACCTCACTCCATCCCCTCCTCTTCCATCCGGAACGCGATATAAATGCGATCGGGATTCCTATCGGTGGGTAAGGAAGAAGAGGACGGCGGTGAGGAGGTCCAATTGCATTCTTATTGCAATCCTCGGCACTGGACCCCCTCCCTGGCACGATCCGCGCGTCAGCGGCGGCGCCATAGGCGCCGAGACGCCCTGTCGGCGCCTATGGGCCTCCCTGTGAGGGGGGCCCAGCGCCGATCCAAGAAATCAGCGCGGAAGATCAGGTGTTTTGTGCTCATGTTATTGTTTGTTCCACGCCGGTCACCTAGAGCCTTGCCTTCTCCGAGCTGTCTCTGCGTCCAAGACTTGCATCCATATCCGCTGCATCTGGGGTTCCGGGCTCTGGACGCCCGAGCTATCCGGGAAAACTCCGGCCTGGGCCCCGGACAAACGAACTTGTGAATACCCCTGACTGCACCCAGCCCCGATGATTTGGGAGTGGTTGGGCGCCCGAACTATCTGGGAAAATGCTGGTCCGAGCTAGATCCAGTTTGGGCCCGCCCCCAGCCCTGACCCTTGACCGCCCCCAGCCCTGATTATTCGGGGCCCTGATCTACGGGCGAAATTCTGATCCATATCCACTGCGCCTCGGCTCGAA